CGTCGCACCGCCCTCCTTTGACGGCACCACCATGCGCTTCGTGGTGGAGCACCGGTGAAGAGCACAGGTGAGTGGGGCCAGGCCGCTAGGCACGGCGGTCACGAGTGACTGCTTAGGGCTGACCAGGTTACCTGCCAAATGAGAGCTGTGCCACAGCTTCTCCTGGAGGGGGGTAAGTAACAGGCCTGGGGTCCACAGGCGGGCCCTCACCAGGACTCAAAATATAGGTGTAAGATACGAAGCGCAAAGGTTACACGTTCCCATTGGTGCAGTTTGGTATGCCGTGGAGCAGGTAAATGCCCCCTTTTTTTGGCTGGAGGTAGTTTCAGTAGAAGCACACCATAGCTGCTCATCACGCAGCCTGTATTTGTGCAGCGCCATAGCTGGGGGGGTCCCCGTCTCAGTGGCATCCCCTTGCTCCCGGTGAGGGGAGTGCTGCTGGGCACCTCCTCTGGACCCACCTTGCAAGCTGTGAAACAACCCTCAGCAGCACATTCCTCACCGCTCGCCTCGTCCTTCCAAGGGGAGGAGAGCGCCCGTCTCTGCCCTGAACCCCTGCTTCTCCCCATCCTTGGGAAGTACGGGAGAGGGGTCTGATGGATACAAACCCTTATTTCGGATCCTTCTTGTTAGCGAGACGAGGGAGTGGGATATGTGGGGTAGACCGGGGTGTGCTCCTCTGGTGCCATGGGGCTGCCAGCCAGGGCAGGGGCGTCTGCAGCTGCCTGCGCTGCAGGAGGGCTCCAGCGGAGCCCGCGGGCACCGCTGCAAATCACGATTTCGCATGGCTACTCTGAGCTTGGCCCACCGCAGTTCCGCCAGTGTCTGGTTACCTAGGGCTGTAACCCAGGGCCGGCCTCCAAATTGGGGGATGTACGCGCGAGAGCGTTGAGTGTCTGGTCTGGAGCGAGGAGGAGGGCATGGGGCCGGGCATACAGCACGCGTTGAAGCCAGGGTGCAGGATGTCTTGCGCAAAATAACCAAAGAACGATGACATTTCATTTTAAAATAGCTGAAATATTAAGGAAGTGCCTTCTGGGTGGGTGTTGCTCCTCCTTTTGCCTCTTGCATTAGAACACACGGCTTATCTTTTTCAAGTGCAGTATTGGGCAGAGCTACCAAAATCTTCCATGGCTTACTGAAGACTTACGGAGTTTGTTCTTGGGGTATATCAAGAGGCAAAGAGAAACAGCAGCGCCAGTCGGAGGTTTGGGTTTGTCACCAGTTTGCGCTGAGTTTTGTTTGGTCACGTGCTAGAGGGTAAATTTTTCCTTCCAGTGTTTGGGTTATCTTTTTCTTGCTTCTGTAGTTCTTTTAATTTGCATCGTCTACTACAGCATAGTAGATGATTTGTTGAATGCTACGTTACTGAAATGCTTCATGCCCTTACTTCTTACCTGCTGATAAATATTTTATCTCTGAAATAGCATTCTTTTATCCAGGATATAAATTAGGTTGTTTTCATTGCCCCTTACAGGGTCTCTCGTGACAGGCAAGGTACCAATTTAAGTTGAGCTCTGCTGTGCTACTTGAGTCAATCTTGTCAGTAAAGTCTTGATAGAGTATCTAGATAGAATGCACAAGCTATTTGATTTTTCCATTTGGTGTATAGGCCAGATTCAGACAGCTAGCACAAGGAATCAGTTATTCGTGAGACTTCAGCCTAGCCGCTCGCTGGTTTTGAAAAGGATATTTCTATCTTGCAGCACCTATTTGAACAAAAAGCCCTAGCTTCTCGATCGTATTGCGCTCTTTTAAAGTGAAACCCGTCGTATTTCCTGGTATGATTCGCCCCTCTTTTCCCAGGGGGTCATCCTGCCATGTCATGCAGCTGCAGTGCCTGGTGTGCCACTGCCGCGGGTGATGCCCTCGGCAAATTGCTCGCTCTTATTGGCGACATTAATAACGGCATCCCTGGTCTGCTTTTTTGTGTTGTGTTGGACCTCTACCATTGCGAGGCAGGTGTGAAAGCTGCCCCAAAAGATGGGCGATGCGGAAACTTTTGTGCTCGTTACAGAAGGTCATTCAGCAGTCTGAAGGCCTCATTTCACCTTTTGCCATCAAAGATGCCAAGACGCACGTTGTCTAATACAGGCGGGGGTGCCCCCTCCCTGCCGTCTCAGACCCGCTGAGGTAGGTGTCCTGCTGGCTATAATGGATGCCGTGTGGGGTTTTTTTTTTGTCCTTGACCTGTTCTGGAAGTCAGTGAAACAAATCATTTTAACTGCATGCTGCAAGATGAGTTTAGCTCATCATCAGACTTTTGGGTTATTCATATAGCGCTCAGTGGAAGATAAGGTATATGCCAGAGGGGGAATCATATCTATAGCCACCGCCACCTTCCTTCCCATTATCCTGTTCTGTCCTTGTACCTACTTGGCATTTTCATTCACCTACATAACTTCCACCTCCCTGTGGATAATTTTTTCTCTTCTTCTCTATTATCTTCTTGGGGTTTTTTGTTTGCCTTCTTTCCCTCTGTCTCTTTTGTCTTTCTCTTCCTAATTAAATGCATTTGTTTGCTCGTGTTAGTGTTTTTCCTCTAACAAGAACAGGAGTGTAACTTCATATGAATCGGGGGGTGAACTGTTGATCATTTTTTCATCCCAGTTGCTTTCACATCAGATCAGTTTGGTTTTTTTTTTTTATTGCAGCAATACAGCGTAGATCCTAAAACGGATTTTAAAACAGCCAGATTTCATCACATGAGCACGGGGTTTGAATAAAATACTGTCCTTTCAGGTCCCTTTCTTTCACAAGCCAAAATAAGCTGAGCGAATGCTCTTTCCACTCCTGTGTTTCTTTCCGCACTGCACGTAGTATCTTCCTCCCTTCTGTCTATTTTTTTCACATCTTCATTCACAAGCAGTGTCACCGTGCCAAGGACTGCTCCGTCTTGGTCTCTGCCGCCTCTTGGAGATCAGCCTGATGGAGCTGACTTGAAGCTTTGGTGGCGGAGCGATGCCTGCGGTGCTGTTGGCGCCAGGTCCTCCGCATGTCTGCTGCTCTTCCAGCGCTTCTTTCTGGGGCTGGTGCGCTTTTCTGCATCATCAGTGGGATAAGGGGGATCCTATCGATTTGGATTCTGGCAAAAGCCAAGATGCCATTTCTGAGCAATTCTTAAATTTTTGGTACACAGCAAACATCAGAGAATACCTGCGTGTTTCTGAGAGGTATCATGAGGCTGCTTTTCTCCCTCCTCTTCTTCGCTTGCAGTAGTTGGCGAGTTTTTAGCAACATAGTTCTTGCCTGCTGTGCTTCTTCCTTCATACGGAAAAAAGATGATGCTAATTTTCAGTTCTAGTAAACTTGCCACATCCGCCTGCATCCAAACTTAGACAGCACCGACCTGTAGCGAGCAGGCTGCCTGAAGGGAGCTCATTCCCAGCCTGAAAAATGTGGTTTTAACTTTTGTATCTATTCCCACATTATACTCCGGGGAGTTTCTGCCTTGTGTTAAGTAAATAAATGAGAAAATAGCATGTAGCAAACAGTACTGCAGTAAATTGTACTGCCAATATTAGAAGGGTATTTTTCCTTGCTTTGTTCAAACGTGTGCCTAAACTGAAGCCACCTTGTAGTTACAGGAATACGAGACATTTATTTTTGTGGTGAAAGTAGGCTAAGTCAAAAGGGAGCAGTTCTGTCACCAAAGTCTGCAAATATACTTATTGTCTGTAAGTGTTCCTTCCTATCTGCCATCAGACAATCTACGCCTGCCTTTAAAAAGTCATTTTGTGTGGATAGCGTATATGGATTATTTTTTTTAAAGGTTCATAAATTGATACTTTTAAACTCTTTTTAGTTTTGCCCTATTCAGCAAAATGTATATTCTGCACGATTAAGTCAAAAAGTCAACTTACAGTGAAATGTGCAGTATGTAGGATTTATTTATGCTGATGCCTTCACTGAGAATCAGGGAAGTACCCACCTAATTTTAGTGGGAAATACAGGAATATTCCAAGAACTAGAAGGGCTTCAGCATTTGATCCAGTAAATCAGCCTACAAATTGAAATAAGCTTGTGTTCAAATCTGTGGCTACTGAGGAAATGTTTAAATAGCGTTTAACCTTGGCACCAATGAAAGTTAAGCGTGAGTTTAATGACTCTTCTTGCCCAGGATGCTTTCCTGGGCCAGTTTTTAACTCCTATTTAACTCCACAAATCTTGGAGCACATGATTACGGGTTGTTTCACTTTCGCATTACATATGCCCTGCTGGATGCTGTGTTTGTAAGTGAAGTGCTGGGGTCTTTAACTTAAGTGAATGGATCGCTTAAATCCTGGCTGGATCGCTTTGCCCTCTTCCTGCCTACATGCGTGGGGCTTCCCAGGACCAGTCTGTGGCGAACCGTGGGGTCGTAAGGCAGCGCACGTTTCACACCTCGAGCAGCAAGGGTCGGTTCTGCTCCAAAAATAAGGCTGCTCGACCACTGACTTGGTTTAAAAAGTCAGGTGCTATTGTCTGATTCTTGGCAGTAGCTTAGGAAACGAGTAGCAAGAAGAGCGTGACAACTGAATGAGGTACTATGCCCTTCCCTGGAGTAGTAAAGATTGCTCTCTGAAGAATTGGTTGTGGCAGCTCTCTAAGAATCTGCTTTTTATTAATGTTGCTTTTATGGTTTTGTTTTTTTTTTTTACAGGGATAAGGAAGAAGAATCATGCTCCTTTAATCTACAATACACTTGGTAACTCTAAGCATACATCCTAAAAACTGCTTCTACAGTTTTCTCATTTTTTTGCTTCATCATACAAAACAAGTGTGTAAGTTTCTTGTTTTCTCCTAAATACCCCCCCCCAGTTTTGGAGTATGCATACATGTAATTATGTGAGCAATGTTAAACTACTGCATTATTTTCTGCAAAGTTGTTTTTGTATTGAAGCCAGCGCTCAGGCTTTAGGCTTTTAGCCTCTGCGCTGGTGGCTAGCGGTAGCCGTGCCACTACAGCTCTTCATAAAATGCAGGGTGTAATGCCAGCAGTGTTCCAGTGTGGGTCAACGCACAGCTTCGTCCGGGTCCCTGGAATGTGTTGTGATGATCCAGTGCAGCCCTGCAACTCTTTAAAAGAAATCACGCCCTCAGCTCTCCCCCATTGCAGTAAATGAGGGTCTTCCCCCTAGGTTTTGGCGATGATTTGTGATCTATTTTGTACTCCGTACTTCTGCACTTGGAATTGCAAACGGAGAGATCCGTAGTACTTAGATTATCTTTAGTGTTTATTTTTTGGCATGGTTCAAAAGGGATTATGTAAATTTCAGAAAACACGTTTGATTGCTTTCATTTTTCATTTGTTCCTCTGTACTGTGTTATCACCAGTTGCCTTAATTATGACAGTGTCTAAATACTAGAAAGCTGGAAATGGAATGTAATATTTTTAGACCCCAGTTCAAAAGGAGAGGACAGCGTTTTTTTTTCTTTAAGACTGCAGTCTTTTCTTCCTTAAATTGCAACGTTGCTGAAAACACAATCCTAGCGATTCCCCTCTGAGAGGAGTTTTTTAATGTTACAGCCCAAATAATATGTAGTCATTTCCTTAGCTGTTATTTGACAGGTTTATCTGGGGGCCACATCCATGCTATTGCTAAGAAAATATTTCTCCTTTGAACAAGAAAATATAAAATAAGATTACTCAAAATGCAGTGATATGTATGTCCATATGTCAAACTTTGCTTAAACTGATGATTTTGTTGCCAGCAACCAGTTTGTCCCAGTAGAAGAGAATTGTTGTCATGACAGTAAAAGTAAACCAGGATAGTGTGTTCCCGGCCCAAAATTTCAGGTCAATGAAGGTCTTTGGGAAGCCAATAAATGTAAGGTCAAGCCTAAATTATTTAGCATAAATTTTCTCAAGGTAACAGGTTGGAAATCCGAAATCTAAGTGCAAAACCCAAAAGTCTGTACTTAAGCATTTACCCACAGGCGGGATTTTCCTGCACCTGTTCTCAAGGTTTCCTGCTGCTAAGGAGGTTTCAGGGTTTCCCATTCTTAAAGAAAGCCCCAGGTTTTCATTTCCATGAGTAACCCTCAAGATACAGAAAACTCAGCTACAAACTATCTTTAACCATACATGTGAGATTGTATTTCAATGCAATTTATTTGTTTACAGGCACAAATTGAAATTGCCCTCAGGATGAAATGCACTGCAAGTATGCACGTAGTGAGTGATTTTAACATATATCTTCTCATTTATCTTCATCGTTGTGGAAATCCAGTGAAAAAATACTATTCTAAACCTTTTTAAAGAGCTTGGCGTGCCCAGCTAGAGCATATAGTGTGTAAGGTTAATCTCCGTGCTCTTTGGTTGTACGGTCTACAGTTACAAGCTTTAACCTCCCACCGGGATTCGGGCTGAATGCCTCTTAAAGAAAATGAATGCTTCTTCACCGTTTTCATGACTGCTAAGTCCGTAGACGTTACGACTACAGTATCGGTGTTAAACGAAACAGTACTTCGGACTGCAGGACAGTGCAGGTACCAGAGTAGATCATCCACTGTGACATACACGTGTATGGTACGTACATTATAATACTAGCATCCGTGTTTAAAAATGTTTTGTCCTATCTTTTCCTATATCGGTGCTCGGAGCGAAGTTTCACGCTGCAGTTTACAAGATACAGGTTTGCACACACAAACTCAGGGTTTACAGTTTCACCCGGTGTACTTGAAAGGATAAAAATGCGTAGAAAACAAAGTGCCCAGGATTTCAACATGTATTTGTTGGAGGAAAATTTTGCAGGTTTTTTTTTTTAACTGCCTGTGGAGACGAAAGCAATGAAATGAGGTGATACCAACAGCTGTTTATTTTCTCAGGGGAGATTTCTTCAATGGAATGTGTCAATTCTAACATCAAGCAGTGTTTGCTTAATTTTGTCTGTTACTTAAGAGACTCCATGTTCGCATCAAGGGGTCAGTTTTGCAAGGAGCTTCGCTTCGCAGACCCAGTCCAGCAAAGCCTTCACATGCATCTCTAACTTCAAATATCTGAGCAGATTTCTGGAGAATTTGGTGGAAGTGCAGTCCCTTTTTTTTTTTTTTTTTCTTCCCATCAACACAGCGCTTTGCTGAACTTGGCCGAGAGCGCTGAGTGCCTTGCAGACCCAAGTCTTGGGTTCTTCACTTTATATGTATAAAACCGGAGCTCTGGGCATGAGCAGATCATGCCATGAAAGGTCACCAGAAAAAAATCCGGTAATATGGTGCTCCTCCATGTATACCCAGTGGTGAATTTCTCCAGCTGATGGGGTGATGTGTAACCACATATCTTGGATCAGAGTCAAGCCCTCCGTGTCAGGGTTCACAAGCTGCTAGTATTATATGTTTCACGGTGCAGTCGTAGTATGTTACAGCAGAAATTCACCCCGTGTGCAAAGCAGGACAAAATCCTGTGCACCACTCCAATTCGGCCCCCCCAGCCCTGCCGTCGGGGTTCAGGGTCTGCAACAGCCGGCCAGCCACTTCCATGCGGTTTAGGTCAGGATCCAATTAAAAGTTTGAGCAGGACTGGAGTGATGCACGAATGTTGTTCTGGTCTTTTGCAGCAGGGTCGTTTTCACTCAGTTAAATTTAATCCTTGGTGAATCACTTGATGAATGATTTAAAATGTATTTATGGGTTGTGTGATTGTGGGTTTTTTTTCCTTGTCTGCATTCAAAGCTGCCTTTACTTTCTAGTGTCAATGGCCAAAGTGTCATTCCTTATGCTTATAAATTACCATTAACTTGTGGCTACCTGAGAATGCATACACTACTTTAAAAATGCTTGTGTTTTTTCCCCCTTTTTCTGTTGTTTTTTTTTTTTTTCTCTTTTCTTTTTCCCCCCTTTTTTAAGGGGGTGGGTTATCAGTGTAAAGATATTTAAAAGTGCAAATGTGAAGTAAGGATAATGATTGTTAAGAGGATGTGGGTGATATGTCTGATGAGAGCGCGGTGGGCTATAAGGCAAAGGGGAAAATGCCATGAACGTATTGTGTTGATGATTGTTGCCTCTGGGGAAAAAAAATTTTAAAAAGGAGATATATAACTGGAGAAAAATGGACTGTCTGAGCTGCTCTCAGCGCAGATGACGCTGTGGCAAGTGCGTAGCCGAAGCCCAAAGTGATCCTGCTGCAGGATGCCGGGAGCCTGGGATTGAAGGACAGCGGAGTCGCTCTGAGAATTGCACTAGCAGCACGTTGCACGTCGGGAACGCTTCAGTACGTCACGACCACGCAAGAACGGACTGTCTGAAACCGCTGAGTACCAAAGTTTGTAACTGAGTGAGTTAGCGTTTGTATCATGTTGGGGGTTTTTTGAATGTTATGATAAATAAAATGTATTTTTCAGTAAAAGACACACTGCAAGTAAGCCTGCAGTTCCCTGCTTGGTCGTATTTTTGTGAAGTTACCTTCGCTGTTGTGCCGAACAAGTGATAGCAGAGGCATTACTTGGTTCGACGTGTAAACAGTAACAGAAGAGAAGATTTCAGTGGAGAGACGATCCAAAACCCCGCACTCAGAGTCTCCCTGGGTTTTCCCCCAGCATTGTAAGTCTCTTTCTGACCTGATCTCACTGTTTATTCTGCCCTCCTAGGGCAAAGGGAAGTTGGGGGCTTTGCTTTGTTTGACTCTGATTTATTTTTTTTTTTTCCACCCCCAGAAGTAACTTAAATGAAAAAAGAACTCCCAGTCTCAGTGGACTAACTTTGACTGGCATATGGGTTTGGGCATCCAAAGAACCGCATCTTTGTTGTTGTAATGTGTTCAGAGAGAGCAACTGGCAGGGTGAATAATTTTTTTCTGCTCACTCCCTATGTTATTTTCATTGTCTAATATTGTGATAGGATCACTTTATTAGTGGATAGTAGTATTGCTTGAATTATTGCTAGGAAAAACCTTTTGCTGCTTTCATGTGTTCCTTCTACCCTAATGGAGTAGGTTTCTGATGTTAAGTCCAAAAGTTTAAAAAAGCATGAGTCAAACACTGAAAAATCACAAAATGGACCTAAAACCTAAAAGATCAGTTTTGCAGTTCAGAAAGAACACTTTCAGTTTTCAGTATGTAAGGGGCGCATTATAACGATCTTCCTTTTAATCACATGCTCTAGAGGCTTAAAAGAGATTCCCAGCTCATTATTTATCTGCAAGTAATACAGTATGAAGGCATCTACTCTGAATTTGCCGTATCATTCCAAGACATGGCTGCACAGTCTTCCTGCCTTGCTGGAAGCACAAGTTTACTGGTAAAACAGTGGTTTGGTGTTTGTCTCATTCTCCCTCTCTTTCTGGATTCTTTGAAATCTGTACCTTAGCATTGCATTTAGGATGGGTGTTATCAGTGATTTCACTGCCAATGTATAGTTAGTGATTTCTGTACAGAGATACAATTGGATTCACTGGCAGACCCAAAAGACTTAAGAGAGGAATGAGAATAGATGTTAAAATGAAGAACTGGGAAAAGCGGTGAATGAACCGGGGAGGGTGCAGCTGCACAGGCTCAGCTCAACAGGAGCAAGCTGGGTGGCTGCAGGAGATCAAGGGGTGACCAGAACAGAACCAGATTAATAGTGGGTGTGTAGAGCAGAGAGAAAGGCCTTGGATTGCTTTGTTCAGACTAGAGGAGTCTGAAATTGCAAAGGGACCTGGGGTTTTCAATGGGAAAATCTGGGAACTGCTCCTTTACTTTTCTCCAAGAAGAGGTCCTGGAGCCTGATTTCAGTGGACCTCTGTAATGAGCCCTTCACAGCGCTGCTGGTTTCTTACGACAGATAGACATTTTAAGCTGAAACCTCCTCAAAAGTAAAATATGTCAAAAGCCAAAAGTAAATATGCTGAGACATGAACTCTAACCTTTCCCTAAGGGGCCCGGTCTTGCAGCCAGTGTTTGTCCGACAGCAATGTGCCTTACGCTGCAAAACTCCACTGAAACTAAAGTGAGAGAGAGTTTCTTATGATACCTTAAAGTAATCTGAGAAGTCAGGTGAACTGTTTCTGGGATTCTCAAGGCTTGGTGGAGAAAATCGCAAGAGTTTCTAAATAGTCTTTAAAACATCGCTGGTAGGAATGATGAGACCAAAAGGTAGAAATGCAGCACTTCTTGCCAGGAGGTAGCAGGAACAATGAAAAATGAGAAGCAGATAATTCCCTGATGTTAGATATAAGCAAGCCATCCAGGATAAAACAAGGTTTATTATTATTATTATTATTACTACTACTACTATTACTATTGCACCTATTCTACAATTGCTGTCGTCTTGGATTGTCAGTGTTGAGAATAAGTAATTTTCTTGCCAAACCCGAACTGTATCCATTGTCTATCCAGCTGTTTCATTTTTAAGATACCTGTCATCCAGTTACCAAATTCGAACCTGACGCTGCAGAATGGTGCCTGCCAGCCCAGCTCTGCCACTGCCCTGCTTGCCATTGACCTCTGCTGGACAAGGCACACAGTTCAAGTTGAAAATGTGGTTAAAAAACCTTGCTCAACCAGGACTTCTGTTTGTTTTGCTATTTTTAACAAAACCTCCTGTGTTCTAAGGTACTATTGCAGCATGCGTTATATGGGCTTGTAACTCTGAAAATGTATCCATACTTAAGGACTGCAGTTCCTCCTGCGCTGTGTAGCCAGACGAATTCTCTACCAGATGCTCTCAATAAGTTAAGAGTTGACTCTATAAGTAACGTGTATTCATTGGAAATCTGGGATAAGTATTTTACAAGTGGTTGCATGTGTGTTAACCCTAGCACCTTTCACCAAGGTGACTTGTATATAATTGTATTCAAAGTAAAATAATTGAAATTATGCCCTTGTTCCCACTAACAAAGGGAAAGGAAGACGCTGTCGGCATGACTGCAGGCGGTTCTGAGATCATGCTGGTTTACACCCATGCAGCTCTGGTTGGTGTCCTTTATTGGTAGGAAAGGATGGACTTTACCAGCAGTTATTTATGGCCAGGTGTTACAAAAATGATGTTTAGTCCCCATATCCTGCTAGCCTGTGCTGCACCAGTGGCTTAATTCATGACCTGATGAGGAGGTCTGCTTTCCAAACCATTGACCTTCATGTTCCCCTGTGCTTTCTGCACCAGAATATGTTTAGGAGCGGAGTGAGAAACTGAATCCTGGAATATTGTTTCAAGAGTGTATGAAAAATACACTTTAAAAATGAGCACTCCTTGAAAGTTTAAGGGGAAAGTTTTGAAATCTCTTGTGCAAGCAAGTTGCTTTTTGGACTTAGCTGGATTATCATTGCGTTATTCTTCCTGTGGCTTCCAGTTAGAAAGGACTGAGCATTTGTTTGCTTCTCTGAACTTCACGTATGAAATAGTGTTTAATTGCTACCATTGCTGATTATTTAAAAGTCTGCATAATAGCCATTATTAAAGATGTACATTGCGTATTTGTGATTAACCCCGATTTGGTAAACGCTCACAGTGTTTGCTTTGGTTGTAACCCTAAGTGTGTTTTCACTTCAAATACAGGCTTAAGCAATGTATTAATTTCACCTTATTTTTAGAAGATTGTCAGTTTTGTTGTTTCCGTAGCTATGGAGCCCACGTAAGGAAGCCGTGGCCTTCCATTACCCAGCTGTTGGGCTAAACCCCTCTCTGGAATGCCCATTATGTCCAGCTGTTAGGGTCAGATAGCTTCAGAAGCAAGTGTACTGCTGCCATACCAGGGGGTGTCCACCAGGACACTGTAACGCTTCGGAAGGAGCTTGATTTAGTCTCAAGGGATGTTGTCAAAGCTGTGGAAGCCCCCAAATTGCCCTTACAGGCTGGTGGTCCCATTCTGAAAAAACGTTTTTCAGTAGTGCAGGCGGGCACAGGATTTTCCTTGACAAGCTGCACCAGGGCTTGGGGAGTAAATAAAAAAGCAAAATGCACAGGCTGGTATCTCTGGGAGACTTGAAGTATTTATGTTAAACAGACCTGTGCATTTCATGTGAAAGAGAAGCAAGCCTCGTGTCATTGGCCAGATACTTGGCAACTGACGGATTATCTTTCATAATCGGAAAATATTTTACGTTATGCTTTTTTTAGGAGTGCGCACCTATGTTACATTATTTTTATAGAATCATAGAATGTTTTGGGTTGGAAGGGACCCCTAGAGGTCATCTAGTCCAACCCCCCTGCAGGAGCAGGGACACCGCTAACCAGATCAGGTTGCTCAGAGCCCCGTCCAACCTGGCCTTGAATGCTTCCAGGGATGGGGCCTCCACTATGTCTCTGGGCAACCTGTTCCAGTGTTTCACCACCCTCATTGTAAAGAATTTCTTCCTTATATCTAGTCTAAACCTACCCTGGTTTAGTTTGAAACCATTACCCCTTGTCCAGTCACAGCTGGCCCTTCTAAAAAGATTTTCCCCCTCTTTCCTATAGGCCCCCTTTAGGTACTGAAAGGCCGTAATCAGGTCTCCCC